AACAAACAAACAAACAAATAAATAAATAAATATTTTTCAAAAAGAATACGAAGTGGTGGCCTAAAAAAATTCATGTCTCCAGCAAGTACTTTTGGGTCTCCCCTCCACCTTTTTTTCTAGTATTACTGCTTTAAGTCAACAAAAGCCAGGTCATCCACTGTTAAGGAACTCTAAGGAGAGTCTACCTGAAGGAAGCTAGGGCAAGTGTTAAGGCAAGAAAAGAAGAAAGCTGAAAAGGAAGGAAAGCTGGGGTATTGGGGCTCATGGGGCTTACTGCCTCTTTTCAGCTCTGCACGTGGGTCTAAATCTATGCAGGTTGGTCAGCTCTGGACAGGCTCACAGTACCCAAATTGACCTTTCCCGGTCCCCCGTTTCCGCCATATCTTGGCTTCCTCCTTCCAAATCAGAATGACTTTTAAATGCTGTTTCCTGACCTAGTATCGTCTTTCTGCCTAAGAATGTAAATATAACTGAGTTGTTATTCAATCCAAACAAATTTTTTTAGACACACATGGGCAGACACAGAGAAAAGCCTGGGGCCACCAGTGGCAGAGGGGAGGTGTATTACCTCTTATTTCCTGGGAGTCTCAGCCTCAGAAAAAGAGAGCTGCTTAACTCCCAATCCACATTGAACCCTGGCTTTTTGAGGAATTCTCTACATAACTGTCCTTGAACAGTCACAGCAGGGTTCTTTGTAAGAGCCAACAAAGAAGAAAGAGCAACAAATGACAAGGTCACTTCAAAAAGGAAAATAAACTTGTATCCTAGCATACTCTACCCATAGGGAATTCATGTAAGCCTGGGGCACCTGAGTGGCTCAGTTGGTTAAGTTTCTGACTCTTGATTTCAGCTCAGGTCATGATTTCATAGTTCTTGAGTTCAAGCCCTACATCCAGCTCTGTGCTAACAGTGTGGAGCCTGCTTGGGATTCTCTCTCTCCCTTTCTACTCCTCCCCGGATTGTGCTCTCTCTCTCTCTCTGCCCCTCCTCTACACATGCACACACTCCCTCTCCCTCTCAAAATAAATAAACTTTAAAAAAAACCTAAAAAATTATAGATTTGACAAAGGCACTTAACTCACTGCATTAGCATATAGTATGTAGGTTTTATTTTTGACCAATATATTATTTTGATCAAAATTAAGTAATCTTTTGAAAATCAAATGCCCGAAGTAAAATCTTACTTTTGAAATGAGGAGAAGTAATAAATATGGTAGACACGTAATACACCAGTAGAAAGTGTGTGTGTTTAATAAATCAGAAAGCAAAAGCGAAAAGAGAAAAGGGAGATTGAGAAATTCAGTTGGGAGATGAAAGGGAAAATGGGAGAGCAGGCGAAAGTTAAAGAATAATGAAATCCTGGGTGGCTAATTAATTGCATTCACTCCCTAAGCCATTTCTCATCTGGAGCTTGAGTGGGAAAATCTGGCCGCCCTTCAGGTATCAGTCCTATCGGCAAGAATGCAGTTGTAAAGGGGATTGAACTCCTTCTGTACATTCTAAAAAGGCTTGGGATCTGAATTTCATGCCAGATTACTGTTCTTATGTTGGACTTACCATAAGCGTACCCTGTACATACAGATTAAGCTGACGCTCTAGCCACAGCTGTGAGGCTAAGGCAAACACAGTCAACTCTAGCGTATGCAAAGGCAAAGAACCTGTCATTCCAAAAAGAATCTATGAAGAGAGTGTCCTGGAACTAAACAAAAGAAACTGTAGGCAAAACCCAGAGGAAAACACTGCAACTCTGAGAATTCTCGTATCTTACAGTTATTTTGCTAGGATATTATAAACTGTATTCCTCAATCTAGGTGAATGAAGACACCATTATTTACTAACAAAAGATGGAGTCGGTGATCAAAGAAGTCTGTCAAGGTCACATATTTCTGACTGCTTGGATTTCTCCATGATGTAGGGAGCTATCTCTATAGACAAAGTGAGCTGATGAAAGCTGCTCATTGTATTTCTCAAATGCTGGTCCGTGAACATAATTGGAGATAGGAAAAACTGACGCGGAAACAGCGTCTTAACAGAGAACAAGGCTGATCTTTCATGGAAACAATCCATGTAATATATTGAGAGAAAGTCTTTCTGCTGGGGATTGCTGCTGGGAAAATTGATGCAGAGGACCATGACAACTCTTCATACATATGCAATCACTGACTTCTGAAGCCCTGCGCCTCTAAATGCTATAAACCCTCTTTCCAGGGCCACAGTTCAGTGCACCACAGTAATGAACACAGCACATTAAACATGAATATCATCTACTTTATTTCAGAGGTCCCTCTGAGTAAGTCCATTATATCATGCCATTTTAAAAAGCACGTGGAATTTTCCCTGGGCTGCCGAGAACGCAGATCACAGACTGAGAGTTCACCATGCCAGCAGGAGCATTTCCTTCAAAATGAGAGAGGCAGGTCCTGATGTTTCTATTCCACTGGCATCTTTCAGGTATTCTTTCTCGCAGATTATTTCGATCAAATGTATTAACTATCAAAGGAAAGAGATTCTTAACCTTGCCAACAGGAAAAAGCATTTTTGTGACAGCACACAGTAGTATGTTCTTTCGGTTAACTGACTGACCTTTTTATTGGTGAAGGTGCAGTGATTTGAGTTGTTCCTTCATTTTCTCCATTTTCCATGTTTCCTGTTACTCGATTGACGCTGTTTGATCCTAGGAGCAAAGAGGGGGAAGGAAAGATGGAAGAAAAGAGACAGTGGTGAGAAAAACAAAAGGAGACAAGAAGTTATTTTAAACTCCAACTTCAGGGACATCGTGGCACATTTTATTGATAAATTATAATTCTAAATAAATAATGAATCACCCAGCAAATCTTAGGTACCATTTTCTGATGTGTACTGAGCCTTTAATACATAATCGTGTCCAAGAGGGTCTAGGATATGACACCACTTTAAAATGGGCCCTTTTGAAACTTTAAGAGTTAACGAAGTCCCCACTTCATGGATATTTAGACTACTAAAATAGGATTCTAAGATATTTAGCACTATACACTGGTATGTAAGACCTAATAACCAATCCCTGATAACCACGTTGTGAAGAAATTACTGTTTTTTGGCATGCCATGATAGTCCCCATTCTAAATCAGACCAAAAATATTTCAACTTATAATGCAAATGGCAAAAAAAAAGAGTAATATAGATGTGATTTCTATCACTCACATGGGGGAAAAAAAAAAGTTTTCAAATGTGTTTTTTTATGCAAACATCCCTAAAAGCCTAAAACTGACTGTTTAAAAGCCACTATTCCACATATTTGCATACAGGCTAGATGCACCAGCAGAGGGAGCCCCCGGCAGACACAATGTTGGAAATCATGATTCAAATAAAGGTAAGTGAAGTGTCTAGGCCCATGGAGGAAGTCTGGATCCCATTCTCACTCAGAAGGGAGGCTGTTAAGTCTGCAGGGGAAGTGACACATGGGCACTGATGATGACGACTCCTCTCAAGTGGCATGCACCTCACTCTGGGAAGTGCAGGAAAAACCAGCAAGGGGACCCCCAAAGTCCTTGTTCAATTAACTCTAGGTGACATGCAGGTTGTTTTCTTCAAAGTGGCATCTTGCAGAAGTATGTCCAGAGTTCAAGTCCTCTGATCCTAATAGTAATCACCACTAACCACTGATAATTTTTGAGCCATGAAGTGAGGTTGTAATACTATCAAGAGCTAATATTTATTGAGCACTTACTATGTATCAGTTGCTATCCCAAGCACTTCATGTCTATTTACTCATATAATCTTCAAAATAATCCTAAAAGGTTAATATTATCCCCATCGTTAAAGATAAGAAAAACGGGCCTTTCCCAAGGTCCTACAGCTCATGAGTGGTGGGACCAGCTTTGCAAACCAGCAGTCTGGTGCCAGACATTAGCTCTAAACCACCTTACATAGGTTTCCATGTGCCACCTGCACCCCACCCTCAAACAGTTCAAAATTAAGGGTCCGCTGGGAGAGACACACTCTTTAGAACACTTGGAGGCACGTTTGACTACTCATCAGGAAAAATAAACAGCAATGAATACACCTTGGACAGAGAAAACAGAGGTTTCAATTAAGAGCTCCAAAAACGATCACTATAAGGAATTTGACATGGATTCAATATCTGAATTTTGTTCCTATTTTGGAATTCTGAAATGGAAAGGTAAGACTGAAGATATATTAAAAACATTAAAGGTAAGTTCATGTCGGAGCAACATTCAGAATCCAGGCATTAGAAAGTTAGTCTGGAGCCTACAGAAAATTTCACCAGATATGACGAGTGGGACAAAAACCAGTTCCCCTGAATCACCCCATGTGCTATCAGACATTGGCACTAGCTGGTCATTGTCCATTTTGCCATGACCATTAATAACAATTCCAAGGGCAGACTCCCTAAGTTGCAGGCACAGATCTGAGATGGAGCTGCTTCTCAAATGTGAACTCCATGTGGTGTGGCCCTGGGACAGTGGCAGGAAGGATTGATTCATTTGTGCTCTAGACAGTGGGTGTGCACCAACATTAATATTTTTATTGTTCCTAATAAACTTTTTAAAAATGTGGTATTGTTTCAGCAGCTATTACGAATTTATACATAAATGAAGGGACCTTCATGTACCTAGGGGTGTATCCCAGGCTGTGGCAGGGGAGGGGGGGGAAGACAGAACACAGCAGAGAGCCCAACACCCAGTGTTAATAACACGAATGGAAGCAGCACTAAGTAAAGGAGATCATCATGTGAACTCAAGTCCTGTGTGACTAGCCTAAGAATAAACCCAGGTTTGCTCCACTTCTCATCTCTTTAGACTGATTAGTCTTTTCTTAGTCTAATAACCAATCACCTCAGAGCAAGTGAAGTTGCTTATCACGTTTGCCTGTTTCCATCCATCTGAATCTTTTTTCCCCCTAATGTTTATTTGAGAGAGAGAGAGAGAGAGAGAGAGAGAGAGAATGAGCAGGTGAGGGACATAGAAAGGGGGGAACAGAGGGTCCAAAGCAGGCTCTGTGCTGTCAGCAGCAAGCCCGATGTGGGGCTCGAACTCACAAAACGCGAGATCATGACCTGAGCTGAAGTCAGATGCTTAACTGACTGAGCCATGCAGGTGCCCCTACCTGAATCTTCTGAAAAATTAATAAACAGGTAGATAAATAAATCCAGGAATATTTTCAAATAGCTAAATTTTAAATGATGTATGTGTACATACTTTCTAAACAAACCAATATCTGGTTATCTACACTATGCAAATAATTTTTGAAATGAACACAAGATGGATGTTTTTCCAAAAGAATTTCAGGTAGGGGCACCTGCATGGCTCAGTCAGTTAAGCATCTGACTTCAGCTCAGGTCATGATCTCGTGTTTTGTGAGTTCGAGCCCCACATCGGGCTTGCTGCTGTCAGCACAGAGCCTGCTTTGGACCCTCTGTTCCCCCCTCTCTATGCCCCTCACCTGCTCATTCCCTCTCTCTCTCTCTCTCTCTCTCTCTCTCTCTCTCTCTCTCTCAGTCTGATTTTGGCTCAGGTCATAATCTCGTGGTGAGTTCGAGCCCCGCGTCGGGCTCTGTGCTGACAGCTCAGAGCCTGGAGCCTGCTTCGGATTCTGTCTCCCTCTCTCTCTGCCCCTCCCCCGCTCATGCTCTGTCTCTCTCTCTCTCTCTCTCTGTCAAAAATAAAACATTAAAAAAAATTTTTTTAAAAGAATTTCAGGGAAAAAAATCACATATGTGCTGTCTCTCAGACATTCAGAAACAGTTTAGCAAGACTTCTTCAAAATAAATTATGTGACTGTCAGGACTATTTTGCTAACAGTCACAGGACTCTCATATACACAGCATAAATAAATAAGGTATTGGCAGTAATACAATATAATTCATGGTTCTTTTATATTCAAAACAGTGACTACTAACTAAAAACCTGTAGATATGTATTCCCTTTCTCTTTAATAATAGGGTCTTAAAAGTCTCATAAGGAAAACAGACTACAGGCTACTTACAGACTACACACAAATGCTACTTACAAGCACTAACTTACTGGGAGCACTTCTGAAGTATCCCTCATATAACATTCATATGCTAACTATACATTACTCTTTTCTATTTGTGGATGTAGCATTCTTTAAAAAGCCCTAATTAGGCAATAATTATTAGCTTTCTTTATGTTGCTAAAGATGCACTTAAAAGTAATAACTATACTTTTAGAACACTGTATTTTAACTAATTAGGTCAAATTAGTGATATGTTGTCACACTACGATTTGAGAAGAAAGCTAGGCAATTCAGTAAAGCTAGGTTGTGTTGGGTTACTGAAATCTGCAAAGGTGAGAAAGGTTACACATTATTGAGATTTACTGACTTTCCATGTTGCTGACATGCACTACTATTTTCCTTTCCCAAGCTTCTTCCCCCCTTATCAAACCACCTTTCAGAATCATCCCATCTACATTAGCTCAGATGCTTGCACTACAGAGAAGAGGTGAGCTGACAAACCCATCACACTAAAAGGCTAGTGTTTTCATGTATTATTGGCCACGCAATAGTTCTATCTCATTAAATTTTTTTAATGTTTGTTTGTTTGTTTAGAGAGAGGGGCAGAGAGAAAGGGAGAGAGAGAGGTAATTCCAAGCAGGCTCCCTGCTCTCAGCGCAGAGCCTGACTCAGGGTAATGCAGGGCACACAAACTCATGAACCTAAAATCATGACCTAAGCTGAAATCACAAGTCAGATGTTTAACCAACTGAGCCACCCAGGCACCCCAACAGTTCCATTTTAAAGAGGAAAAAGGAAAGCCAAATATTAACTAAAATACTTAATTGATCACAACGGAATTTTAGGCAGTGTCCTAGGAGATATTTTCAGGTTGGAAAAAATCTTTTTCTCCCACTCCTTTTTCACTGTGTTATAATGGACCACACACACACACACACACACACACACACACACACACACACACGTGAAATATGAACAGTTTAACAAAGTATTATAAAATGAATGACTGTTTAACCACTATCCACTTTAAGAAATAAAACATTGAGGGCAATTTTCCTACACTGCATAAATCACTCCATTTGGAGCAATTCTTTCTTTTAGATAAAGCCAAACAGTTGTTTACCATCCAAAATATCTAGAAACATGAATTATGTATATATTTCATAAAATATATTTTTAAATTATTTTTAAATTATTAATAAAAGTTAATAAGGCATCAAAATCTTAATAAAATGAAGGATGCATCACTGTACTGCTTCATGACTGTTAACACAGTGCTTTACACATGGTGGGGTATCAGTGAAGGTCTACTATAAAGGATGTATTCGCTTCTATTTTTTCCACTAGAAGGGAAAATTCAGGATAATGATGCTATTTTGTAGAAGTGTCAAAACTAAGTTCAAAAAAA